GGAGGTTTTTCGTTAACTTCGGAGAAAGAAAAATGACTTTAAAGGGATCATACTAAAGCTGGAAAATGCGGTTCGTACAGCTTCTCGCTCCTCTTCAACATGTTCATAGTGAAGGGTAGTAGGAATACTTACGGATAGGTACACAACCTGAAATTCAGGTATCTGGAGTTTCGAAATATAAAGCTTTCTTTTGAGCTGCAATCCCCTCCCCGCGGGGATGTTAGTGCAGGCGGCCCTAGGTAGAGGGGAGCTAGAGAAGAAGAGACGGTCTACATCGAATCCTTTTTTGTGGGCTTTCTAATGGTGTACAGGTTATCGGGTGAAAAAACTTGTGGTTTTTTAAAAATGAGGTGGAGATATTCAATAGTAACTTGCTCCACCCCGCTCCGGCTTTCTATGGGTTGCCGGAGCAAGACTTTTTTGGACTGGGAAAGTTTTGTTCACCAACACCTTATATACCATTCGATAGCTAAAAACGCGAGGAATCGACGTAGACCGTCTCTTTTTTCGTAGCTTCTCTGTGAAGCGAGATACGAGCAGTTTTATCTAGCTACAATATCAGCCAATTTTGGATAATTATATTTTCCAACCAAGAGGGTCTTTTTCGAACTTTTATATATGAATCGAAAGCATGAAAAACGAGTAATCTGACTGTTGTTTTGTTTGTTATTATTCTCTCTAGTGAAAAGAGATATGGTATGATTTTTGGTCAGTAAACATGCATCCATCGCTAGTCGGTTCAGATTTTTCTACTCTTGCTCAACTCTTTTTTGCAAAGTATGTATTCACTAGTTCACTAGCTGGCTTACCCGGCTCCGCCGTATCCGGACCAAACTTGGCACACATACACTTCGGGCCCCGGCGGGTGTCACAGTCCACTTTTCGTTATCGATCGATGTCGATTTTACCGATTTTTATCGATTTTTTTTGCAGAGTTCACCTACAGGGCTAGGAGTTGGCACAGGGGGGAAGTGAGCATGGGGATTCCGAATACAATATTAGTTTTCAGAATTATCGATTACTTTTATTGATTTTATCGATTTTTTGTAAATTGTGACATGCGAGGCTGGGATTTTGCACAGGGGGTAATCGAGCATGCTGATCACCCCCCTTGGGGATGATCAGCATGCTCGATTACCCCCTTGTGCCAACTCCCAGCCCCGTAGCTCAAACTTTGCAAAAAAATCGATAAAATCGATAAAAGTAATCGATAATCCTGAAAACCAATATTGTATTCGGAATCCCCATGCTCGATTACCCCCCTGTGCCAACTCCCAGCCCCGTAGGTGAACTCAACAAAAAAATCGATAAAAATCGATAAAATCGATATCGATCGATGACGAAAAGTAGCCTATGACACCCGCCGGGGCCCGAAGTGTATGTGTGCCAAGTTTGGTCCGGATCGGTTCAGAAATGGAATTTTCTATTCGGAACATACGTACAGACAGACATACATACATACAAACAGACATTCAGCTTTATATATAAGATTGATACAATGTTAATTATTCAAAAAATCACATTTTACTTTTTAATTACGTTTCGTTATCAACGCCCTTTGAGCGCGCAGAAGGTCTCAAGCACGCGTTTTTTAACGAAACGTTGTTGATTCGATACTCTCTTGCAGTCTTGATGTCTGAGGAGAAGAGCAGCTGGCGTTTCCTTTCCAAACAAAAGTTCCGTTGTAATAGCTGTTTGCCTTGATTAGTCTCAACCTTAGGTGAAAGGGGTCAGCCAGATGCCGGCCCTAAAGTGAAGGGGGTCAGAGAAATTTCTCCACCTATCGCATCTATGGTCCGTATCGTTGGGGGCAGCGTCTGGGCAGAAATTCGAATGGAATTTCCCTCTCTTACCTGGGCTTATCCTTCCCGCTGATTCCGAAAATGCAGCTTGGAGGGCACGAAAACGGGTTTTTCCAGCCCTTATTTTGAATTTTGTCACCTGCCGCCAAGGTTAAGAAGCGGAGCCTTTGTGGGACCCTACGTTTTGACTTATCAGATATATCTCACAAAGTCGCAGCATTGTTCTTTGGAAATACATTTCTTCAACATAGAAAACATAAGACCTTGTTTTGACCTAAGTGCCGCCCGTAGGATGCGTTGCTCTATTTCTTGTAGTCGTCTGCTTTGCCTGGTAAGTAAGTCCACAAGTTTCTTCAAGGTGCGTGTTTGCAATGAACTTCAGGATCACGTTGTAACGCAGACAACGGCGTAGGAGAGAATTGTTTGTTTCACGCAGACTATCTTCTGTCGCAATGATAGAACTTCTTTGAATAATCGAGATTGTTTGGCTGGTACATCTTTGATCGAAGTCCAAGCTCGATTATCGATGAATCTTGGCATGAGGTAGTTATTTGTATTCTTATTCTATAACCAGTAACCAAGATTGTGTTAATACGCTTTATTCAGTCAGGCCAACGTTTCGGTGCCTTCGAAATAAATGCCTTTCCAATTTAGAAATAGAAAAAAAGGTGAAACAACAGAGTAAAGGTGAGGTAGTAAACAACACAATACCTTGTATAAAAAAAAAACGAGGAACGAGGAGAAACGATTATCTGCAAAAAATTCTGCATTTGCGCGCGAAAGCAAGCTCCTCCTTCGCTTACTTGATGCTACAGAAAGTTCATTGCGCGCCGTACACGCACACCGTGTCTGCGCGCCGCCTGCGAACATGCATTGCGCGCCGCCTGTTGGCTGAAATCAGTGCGCGCCGCCTGTGCGCTGCAGGGCCACGCCCACAATCACGGCGCGCCGCCTGCCCTGCTGGCCGTGAGTGCGGGCCGCTTGCGTGCAGAATTGCCTGAGGGTTGTTTCAGACTGCCGCACTGACTGCAGCTGACTGCACTGACTGCAGCAGACTGCAGCAGACTGCAGCAGACTGCAGCTGACTGCAGCTGACCGCAATGACCACATTGACCGCACCGGTCGCAGCCTCTTTTCTTAAAAGAAAAAACAACCGCGATTATCAAAACAGCGTGATTTACGCATAAGAAGATCATAAATTCCATCAGAAATCTTCTCATCCAAATTTTGGCGATAGTTTTCTTTGGTATGTTCGTATTTGTTCTAATTCTTCCTATCATTGCATATACCTGTTTTGCAACATTGTAAACCTTGTTGTCTTTTGCTTTTACGTATATATTGTTGTTGTTTGTTTAAAGCACAACTATTTATCCTCTCCGCCTGCAGGCTTCAGCCGCTGCGGTCAGTGCGGTCAGCTGCAGTCTGCTGCAGTCTGCTGCAGTCTGCTGCAGTCAGTGCAGTCAGCTGCAGTCTGCTGCAGTCTGCTGCGGTCAGTGCAGACTGCTGCAGTCGGCGGCGTTGCAGGATCCTCCAAAGGCCCGCCGCTTCTTCTCCAGGCGCGCCCTTGGGAGGCAATAATCGCTTCGCGCCTACCTCGCGCTTGTGTCGCACTTGTCTCGCACATTTCTGCGATAGTGCCCCTCTAGACAATCGCCTTGTTTCCCCTAGCATTAATTAAAAAGGTCACTGCTTGAACAATGATTTTTCAATGATAACAAGGAAAAGAAAAAGCTGTGGGAATAACAATAATAAAAGTAGACTGATTGTCTCTTGCCAAGAAAGTCAGTCAGTTGAAGTGGCAGTTTGGAATTTGAAGCATACCAATATATAGAACTCGAAATGCTGACTTATGTTTGCGAAGGTTTCTCCAGTGGAGGTTATGGACTTTTTTGTATTTATTGATGGAAGTGTAGCCCAGGAACCGGAAAACGTACAGATGACCTCAGGCTAAATGTAGGATGTTTACAAGTATTTTAATCAAGCTTTGCACAAACATGGCATTTGGGGAAAACCAATTAAAAAGAATTTTCGTCAACAATTTTGCTCTGATTCTGGTCCTGCTGAATTGCATACCTATTTAAAGCATCGGTTCCCGTAAAGAGTACAGCCCCCAAACTGCTAAAAAATGATGTACAACGTTTCTTTGAAGCTGTATATTTCCACTGACATGCCCATGACTTGGTTCCGCTGGTGAGAGCTTCTTTTTTATCCACCATATCTCAATAGCCACAGTAGAATGTATTTGCCTATCAGTCAGCTTAATTCTCATATTTTCTTTGTTTGTTAGTGGTAAACGTTGATCCTTTCCGCTACAAAAACAACCACCTTTCTAATTTACCTCGACTAAGGTGACCGAATGTTCCACATTCATTGGTTAATTACTGAAACTTTCACATCTTCATCTTTTGTTATGATCGAAAAATCCTCGTTCAGGCAGTAAACTTTCCAATTACCCTATTTTCAGGTGTATAAGCCGCACCCTTTTTGCTCTAGACGCGAGCAGACCCAGGCGTGCCGCCGCGCCTACCTCTCGCGAAGCGGTCGCCTTATCGCATACTGCTCTCACTTAACGCGCTCCATGATGACAGTCAGTCTTTTGGCATGTTCGCCTTTAGAGTGAAAAGGGTGCGGCTTATACACCTGAAAATAGGGTAATGCTAGGGGAAACAAGGCGATTGTCTGGAGGGGAACTATCGCAGAAATGTGCGAGACAAGTGCGACACAAGCGCGAGGTAGGCGCGAAGCGATTATTGCCTCCCAAGGGCGCGCCTGGAGAAGAAGCGGCGGGTCTTTGGAGGATCCTGCACGTCCTCCGCTGCAGTCAGTGCGGCAGTATGAAACAACCATGAGTATGCGCACTCTGGCTTATCTAACTAACTCATCCCGGTCGCAGGGCGTTCCGGCCGACACTTTTGAAGCGGCTTTCTCGCTTTAGAAGCAATTCGGTGCATTGCCAGTTGGGCAAGAGCCTTACCAGGACGGGCGCCCCTGACTCTACATTTTCGTATCTGCCCGGACACTGCCTTTACATCCGCGTGACAACTATCTTATTGTCACACAGATCCGTAAAAGTGGTCCAAATCTCTACACTCATCGATTGAATGTCCCTACACGAGGTCTTCGCTTTGCGGATGCGTATTTTCTACCCAAAAGGTAGTGACTGAAGCAGACTGTCACTACTTTTTAAAATTTTATTGCAAGGAAATGACGGAAGATTCATGCGTACGTTTGGATTTGGTCAGTTAACATCTCAGAATTACCACTAAGTAATGGAGAACGAGTACTAAAACATGCAAGACCTCAGTAAAATGAGATATTACAGCGGCCACTGGTGCTGCATGCATGAAGGCAGAGATCTATGAAATTAAAACAAGAAAGGGAGGTCTTAAAGATATATACAATTCATCCACTAATAAAACACAGTGATATCACAAAATCAAACAAATCCGAAAAAGAATATAAAGCTTAGCTAATACTTGACGATTGCTTGCTAAAATCGTAAAGCACTTCCTATAATGTCGTTTAGCTCTAACAGATAAGGTACACGATGTACACGCTCCCTAGCGTCTTTCACAAATACTGCATAACATGTAAATATAAACATGGATTTAAGGTTTGAAATTGGACAAAGCCCGTAAGTGAATGGTCCACGAGCAAGGAAAAAGACGAAAAATCAAAGTTTGGCTAAACAAAGTCAAAGTTGCAAAAAATGCAGTGCTTATGCGGACAGGATGCAACACATATAACAAATGCAGCACTGGAATTGAACCCGGAATGGTTTTGAACATTAATCCTGAATCAATAGTTAAATTTTAGGAGCGTACGGAAGTCTCTACCGGATAATTTCGAGTTACACCAAGATTAAGCTACATTTCAATCTAATTCGATAATCTCCGGAGCGGAATTTAGAGGCGGCGGAAGTCGAAGCCGTTGTGATTCGGGGGCGATCGTTACTACCGGGGGTGGCTGGCGTGGGACTATAATGACATTTAGCATTCATTTCTTCATCATGAATAATTGCCACAGTAAAATAGTTGTTTAACTTTGACACTGGCTTAAAACACTGGCTTTGCGTTATGAGCGGATGATCGCAGATATACCGCAGTTTGAAATGTCGGGAGGGGGGGGGGACAACAATTTCCTTTCTCGATTTCCAGAAGATAGTCGTTCTGACGTCTGATTCTTGATTCAAACTGCCCTCAAATTTTGAAAACCTCTACGTTCTTTCCTATCAAATTTTGCATAGGTTGCGGAAAAAAAATGTAACTACGTGAGAAACCATTCACACTGTCAAATTCGTAGCAAAAACCCTTTTTTCTGTGCAACTACCGACACTTCAAAGATCATGCAAAATCCTTATCCGCTGGTTAGTTTCCAGCCCAGAAATGAGAAAAAAATAAAAAGGGCCTCTCTGGAAGGGAAGGGTCTCACTTACGACTTAAACAATGAAACTATACGGCAAATTATACTCTTTGCAAAAAATCAAAGAATTCTTGAGAAATACTCACATGAGTCGAAGACAGAATTCTGTGCGTTCAAGAGCAGTCCATTACTCAATCGAAGGAATATACCGTCACCGCTGCGGATAAGCATCACCTGCGTATTTGCCGGTACTGCATGCCGCTCAGCTGGGTTCGAAACGACTGGTAGACTCAAATCTGGAACAGCCTATAAATTTATTTGTTCAAAAAGGTAGTAGAGACGACGTGCCTCTGTCTGTTCTGATGAGCTGAACGCTGCCTCTGTGGTTTGATGCTGGTTCAAAAGCAACAGAAGCGCCAGGGAACGGTAGAACTCGGCGTGGTCCATCAGTCATGCTTCTCATGCGGTTTCCCGTTACTGAATATGACGTACGCAAAGACTGCGAAAAAACAGAGGACGAAGTCATAGATACTTATGCGCCATAAACTTACACATTCCTCCATCCTGTCCATATACAGAGCTGTTCGGCATCAATCCCATCGGATATACAGCGGCACCGCTAAATTAGTACGGCGTTACAAACAACTAAGTTCGTCGAAGCGCAAATAAACATACGTGGAAGGTTTAGGTATGCGATCCAAAAGATGCGGCATGGGCGTTGAACGAAGTGGTGGAACGTTGCTAAAATCTGTTCGAGCATAAAGCGGACATAAGTAAACATGTAACATACCCAGTCATAAACTGAGACGGAAAGGGCATCCCAAAATGAGGTCTCCCAAATCTGGGTTGCCCGAAACGGGATCCATCACCTTCTGGATTGAATAATGGCGCTTCAGGATATGCAAGATCGAAGGACTATAAACGGAGCGATACAGATAGAGATGAAAGTGGCTAACTGAACTGGATCTGGGTCATCCCAACCTCCTTGTACTGTTCCTTCGCGAACCACAGCTCTGCCTCTTTCTTCTCCTCTTCACTCAAACCTTCTTCTCGCTCAAGCATCAACGATTCATGGAGGAAAGGTTCCTGAATATGACGATGATCTATACAAATTTTGGCAACTTGGGACTGCGAATGCACCTCAGCCAGCATCTCGCTTCTCGGCTTCACCACAGAAGCCAACACTTCATCATCAATGTCCCATTTGGATGTGTCCCACTTGTCATGAATAACATCAAGCGCTTCCTAACGGTAATAAATTTAAATTTGATTAAGCTGAGATTCACGTGGACTAGCTAGGCATGATAGTAGTGGTAAAATAAAGCAGAAAACGAAACAAAACAACAAAACAGAAACATACATCGTACATGAGCAGTGTCTCCAACTCCTTCTGCGTTATGTTAGCATCAACCTGCGCATCATCCACAACACGCTCTGAAAGGCCAAAAGATTGTGGACGAAGTTGTCTAAACCTCCAAAACCAACGTTGTAAACCGTGCTTGCTGATCTGTCTATTGAATATTGCCTTTTCCATGCAATTATTCAAGATGAGTCGATAGATATAAGTGCGCCTTTGTTGGCCATACCTAAACATGATCTATCCCTATGAAGTCAAGTTCTTTAAGAGTGGATTGATTTCCAAAGGAGTGGAAACAAATGAGGACCTGTAGACTCTACATACAGCCTGCGCGTCATGGCATGGATTCCAGCAGGCATCAAATATTATGCATCGATTAGCTGCTACCTGGAAACATGAACTTTAACTGAGAACTAGTCGTCCACAAAACACAGAAACATGATCGGGAATAGAGAAAAGAGGAATTACTAGCCAAGTTAATGCCAAGCGAACCAGCCCTAGTGGATATCAGAAAGAGGTGGACAGTGGGGTCGGAATTGAATCTATTGATCAATCGCTCCCTCTCTATTCCAGGAGTGCTTCCATCCAACCCTTGAAGAAAAAATATCATCAAACAAAATTGACCAAAGAAATAATAGAACTGACTAAAATAATTGATGCTTTTCATCCAGGCTGTTGTCTCTGTCCTCGTCTGGAGTTTGCGACGGCTTAGATAGTCCTCTATCAAATCCAAAGCCGTCAAATTTTGACTAAAGATAGCTTTCAGAATGAAGAAAGCACGACTCAGCGCAAATGGATAGGAAACATTTACCTAAAAATCAGCATTTTCTCCCCTCTACGAGTAGTTGCATCCAGTAATTCCATAGCCAGTACCATTTTGTATCCGTGTTCAATATTACCTTTTTTGTACGATGCCATTGCTACCTCAGCCTGAAAAGTGGTTGGAAAGGTCAAATATCTTCAAACGAGAATTTGCCCGATAACATAACGTGCATCATCATTCTGGGACAACAAGAGTCGCAGCGGCCAACGTGTGATATACAGTTGTGCTTGTGCTCCAACTAATTCTGGAAGACTTACTATCTGGTGCTAGAAAGAAAAGGTTGGAGCTTGTTAATCACACATGTGAAAAGAGTTCTCAGCTCTCGCAGTCACAGAGTGGATGATACTTCAGCGCACAAACGACATAAATCATTTCAAAGGTTTTTTAACGTCTCATGCCGATCATTTCGACTGGTGCATAGGCCGTGCAACGCTGTTGCGTCCATTGAAAATGCTTCATGAGCGTAAGAGGCGCAGAGGAAACAAGCGGCGAGAGTGCTCGAGGAAAGAGGAGTGACGCGAAGTATCTACCCTGCGCACTTTCCGCGCCCTGCGCGGACGGCCTATAGCATTCATCCTCATGCTACAGCAACTCGGGGAAAATAGCTTTACAAGTCTAACAAATTTAACAGACTACATGACGAAATGACAAGACCTTTCACATACGGAAAAAAACTCAGCGATTTATAAGCTGCGTGTCTACATGTGACAGGCAACTAGTAAGATAGCAGTAAAAAACTACACAATTTGCTAAATCAGAAGACTAACATAACATACCCAATCATACTGAAGCCCTTGATCGATATCTGCGATATCAAACTCCTCTTCCATTACACCTTGGATGGTTTTTGACTTCCCTCTAGTAAAGCGCTTCCCTCTAGCTAGAGTAATGCCAGAATCATTTCTAGAATGATTAGAATCTCACAGAAGAGGCAATTGGTGAATTGTAAAACATACGATGTTTCCGTCTTTTTAACAGGTTCACGAGGAACATCTTCAAATATTCCACTCCATAAACTCTGATGAGTGATGTGAAGCTCGCCAGTGGAAATATCCAGTGAACGCTCCAAAACTGACGAACCTTTAGGTTCTGTATAATATGGATATAGCTACTTTGAAGTATGTGAATATGCGATGGCTGACCTGAGATTGCACGAGTGAATGCCGGTGTAGAACTCATCTTCGAATCTGGATCGGTGTATGAGGAGGTTTCACTGCTTGGTCCAGGCAGCGAAGTGTAGTGAGGACCCACACTGCAGTCATTTTTGATAGGGCCAAATCCCGCAGAACCGGTGCTATAGCCGCTACCCGAGGGTTGCGAAGGCCAGTAAGGAGAGCTCATTGTACTGGATGGCATGAACTGCGTTCGCGGCTCTGCATCCATAAAACCATCCTAAAAACACAATCACGATTAAATGTGAGATGTGAGGTGAAAGGGTTCAACATAATTCAATTGTAGCTTACATCTTTATATTTCTTTTTCTCCTCCCTTCTCTTCTCCAGCGTTTGAGCAAGAATATCAGGATGATTCCAGATCTGAAAAATAAGAGATGAGTACTCTGTGACGATGCCAGTCAGACGTGCCAAACCTTCGAACAAGCGGCAAATGCCTTTAGTGGATTGAAGACTGTTGTATTTCCGGTACTTATCTCTGTGTTGGCATACATGACAAAGTTCCTAAATCGAATTTTTTTCACTGCTGATTATAATTCATAATTGGCTCACCTATAAAGTGCATGCTGGAGGGGGCTTTTACGAAGCAATAGGACAAATTCCTTACTTTCCGGAAGTATAGCTTTCAACAAATGATGGGTTCTCCTAGAACAGGATATAATCATATTTATATACAGATAAAGATCGCAAGGTCCGGTAAGACGTCAGATTATTTTCTCCTATGAAGTCAAATGGTATCAACGGTACAAAATAGGATTCTAATCTGGGGAACGAAGAAAATCCTGGCTGCTTTTCACAGATAGAAAAAAAACGATTCTCCTTTTCAATATGCAGTACTATTTCCGGGTTTTACTAAAATTTACAGTCCGCTAGGTCCACCCTTATTCCAAGTGACACAAGGTGATTGATCTCGAAACTTAAAAATAATTAAGATACCTTTGAATGAATCCTTTAAGCATACTGTTGAGGACATGAATGCGTTGCCTCGCAATTTTGACATCATCTAAAAAGCAATAAGATGTACAACTTCTAACAGAGCAATACTGATAACTGCTTGATTACAAAAATACAAGATAGAATAAAGGGTGGAATCAAAAGAGGAAACAAAGCAAAAACAATGGAGTTAACCATGAACCTCACATAATAAGCAACTTTGACTTACGAGGAGTTGAATCTATGCACTGTCCATTCCTGATTGGCTTCTCGAACTGCATCATAAACGTCTTTTTCGAGCCAAGAAAATCTGGACGAACAAAATCCACCATACAGTAGTACTCAATAAGGTTATTTTGCAAAGGGTAACCAGTAAGCACCACTCGCCGCCTAAACTGCATCCATACAGTACAAGCAATAAGTTGATGTCGCATTAACAGACCTTGTTTTGATAGCACCTAGAGCGTTGGCTATGTCAGTATTCAGGTTCTTGATTTTATGCCCTTCGTCGCATACAACAAGATCAGGTCCAGGATCAACAAGCGAACTCCTTATGACTAAATGTGAAACTTGGTAGACGTTTATGCGAAATTATTGTAATCCTACTATCGTTGGCTTCCTTCTTGATCCGACCATCTGCCGTAAATCCTTGATCAAATTCCAATTTTGGCTCAGGATTAGGGCGAGGAGTCTGCAGTGAAAAAGATCAAGATATATCGAACATACGTGAACAAATATTGCACCTGGAACGCATTCCCTTTCGCTTTCGTAGGTTTTTTGGGCTGAGTAGCTCGAATCAACAAACGAAACATTTCATAGCCGATAAGAAGAACACCTCCTTTGCGAGACCAATCTTCTATAAAATTGATGTTACACATGATAAAAATGATAATCAAAAGCAGGAAGTAAAAACCAGGTGTATAGAGTGTAGCTTAGACGGGACTTACCTATCATATTCACTCGCTGATCAAATGTCTTCACAGAATCACCTAAAAGAAATACTTCGAACTGGCGAGCTGTCTCGCCGCTGTCTGTGTACCTAAACCAGGAGGCTTGCAGACGCAGCTCATTTTCGAGAGGCTTACCTAGGCATCCATTTTTCAAACTCGTTGTACCAGTTCTGGATTGTGTTGACTGGCACAATGATAAGAACTCTTTTAGCATCCGTGACCCGCAGAAAAACCTCCACAAATGTGATCACCTTAATTAGGTTCGTTGAGAGCCGGTGAAAAGATTTTCGTGAGCGACTTACCTGTATAGTTTTCCCTAAACCCATACTGTGGGCTAGAATGCACCCAAAACCAGGTGATTTTTTATACTCCTCCAGCGATTCAACAATGTTATCATACCTATAAAAAAGGTAGACTAAAAACGAAGCCAACAACTGAAGCGGAGGTCGAATACAACAAAACACCAACATAAAACGAATTCCACCCAGCTGATGCGGTTGCAAGACATGATTAAGATGTGGCGCGACGTGAACATCCGGTTCTCCTGGCCCGTGACCTGCAGTGCAAATTCGAACTTGAATTATTCACAAAAAACGAAGCGAAAACCAACCCGCATTCACTAATAAACGACCGGCAGTAGTAAGCTCAATTTTCTCTAATTCCCTAGAGTTTCGCCGTTTTCTTATCCGCTCTTTCTCTATTTGATGCTGTTTCTCCATTTTTTCTCGGTCCATCTCAAAAAAGAGATATAGGAACTTGACTAAGAAAGTAGAATTAACTTACCCTATCCCTATCTGAAAAAGCAAATCGTGATCGTTTTCCATAATCAGAGGAAGTGGGAAGAGGAGGAGGAACTCGACGAGGATAACTGCTACCTTCTTCCTTCTCATCCTCGTCACCACTCGAAAGCTCAATGACCTAAAGTCTCTTTAATGCCACAGCAAGAATGATAGTTTGAGGTATTATGTACATAGACTCATATAGTTACGATCAAAAGTAAATCTTTGAAAGTTGTAAATTCTGATACGCTACCTCGGGTTCAGCCTTGGAGACGGATGGAACAGTAGAACAGCGACCCTCTACTTTTGTGATGCTCTTCTTATCATCCACACCACCTGATTCATTGTCTCCAATCTAAAAACTGCTCATTGTATCACCACTATTAATCTCCACATCAAATCGAAGAATGCGTGTTCTGTGCGTATTTGAAGAAGAGACCATGTTCCCATCGATAAAAACATCTTCTCACTAAGGGTGGGTTCATACTGGTAAGTTTCCGGAAGAAGAAGAGACCCTGTTCCCATCGGCAAATAAACATATCTTTTTACTAAGGCTGGGTTCACACTGATCCGTAAGTTTCCGGAACAGTGCAGCACAGCGCTCGAACTGTGCGCTGGGCTGGAACTGTTCCGGAACTTACGGATCAGTATGAAGCCAGCCTAACGCCCGCATGGGAGCGATGTGCAATTGTGCAGAAGCGCCTTTCAATGCACATATTACTAGAGTGAACTACCGGCAAACCCGGTACATTGAGTTTGAGAACAACTGTAGCAGAATGTCATAAAGAAACTGATGCCTTGTAAATCCCTTGTCAATTTCGGGCACGGTGGGAACATCGAAAGTAGTTTTGCGATGCAAAGAAGCATGAAAAACTGACCAAGCATATGACTTCAGGATCAAAAGCGTCGAGAACGGGAAGAGGAGCGACAGGCTTTTGAAGCATGGCCGCCATCTACAACTTGGTAATAGGTATTCCAAGATTTCACTTTAACCAACATACCTGCTGAATGTGACCATTTTCTCCCAGAGCTTGTTTCTGCTTTTCCAACCTTTCTAACCTCTCCTTTTCCTTTTGCTGAGCAACTAATGTGGAATTATCCAACTGAGAGTCATCAAAATTTGTTCTAAAAAGCAAAGTAGAAACCAAACATCGATAGCATGAAATTTAAGGTTAACTAGACGAACTGGATGTGTTTCCTCTTCTGGGCCTTAGTACCTGTCGGTATTCTAACATTGAGCAATTCCGACTGCTTGTCCATAGAACGAGCACCACGACTGTGGCCCTCTCCAGCACCCTGTCGACTGCAGTTTTCTGTAAGAAGTTGATTATACGGCTCATTCTAGCTCACAAGAATCTAATGATGACATTACCATCTTCTTCGGCTGTGTCCAACAGTCGACTGTTCTCCGAGGTCGACGATATCCCCCTATTTAAATTTATGGACAGCTTCAAAGAACCTCCTTTAGACATCTTATCCTCCTCTACATCGGTATTAATAAAACCTGAAGAGAAAACATTTGCGCAAACATCAACTGATAATCAAAGAATAAAAGCGACGAAGTGAAGGAAGCATATTGACTGTACTACACTGCAGGACGAAAATTGTCAGGGGAGCCGTAATGCTATCAACACAAAGACAAGTTTATTACTGACTCGCAATAGTACCTGTTACTAAGCGATAATCAAAATTATAATTCTAGGCCACATGACTGTGTCCGTCACACTTTACCTCAGTTATCTATTTGTAGAAGCAAAGCCAAGCCAAACACTAATCTTCCAATTTGTGATACGCCAGAAAAACTGGAACGGTAACCTAGTACAATCTACTCTATCTAAATCTTAATTTGCAATATACTTTATCTACTGCAAAGTCCACAAAGACTTCAACAAAATCTGAAAACCTTGAGATTCACATTTTTTTGATACTGACTCGATGAAACGAAGCCCTTCCTTGCCGCAGACGTTCCATGCGGGCATGACCCGCAATCACACATTTAAACATTCATGTGCACCTTATTTACGGTATGCTGGTGATTGAAGCGGTTCTTGTGAGATTCAGATTGTGAGCTGATGTGTTGAAATGTGTTGATGCGCAGTCTCCAGCGTTCTGGGTACTAAGTTCCTTACACGGAAACTAACGGGTAGGTTTGAAAGGGACTGTGTGCCTAGATCCACGACTTCCATCTCTTGTTTCTCCACCTCTCACCGCGTTTTTGATATCGAAAACGAAGTTTGAAAGCTTGAAAATCGCAATAAACCCCTCTGTGGAGACTATTTTCGCAAGCATGGACGACAGTTACAGGGCTTATCAAACGCAGTGTCGCTTGCCCCAGCATCTCCACTCCCGCGCTGGACTCTGCGTCTCTCTTCCGCGGACATGCTCCCTGATCACTCACAATCGATCGAGGCTCCGCCTTTCCCACGCGCACTGGGAAAGTGATCAGAGAGCATGTTCCTGGAAGAGATACAGAGTCCAGCGCGGGGGTGGAGATGCGCGCGCGTGCTCTCTGATCATTACCTAGCTTAACTAGGTTACAAAATTCCGTCTTTCAGCCGGCAAACCAGTTGTATCAAAGGATAGGTCTAATCTGATATCATCCGAACGTTTTCGTGTGTTGTTCAATCATCCCTGACATTAAATGCGTGCGGCGCGCGCGCTCCCCGTGCGGCGCTTTGTAGTGCGCGCGGGCCAAACGATGAATGTGCGCGGGCCGCACGGTGAATGCGCCCGGACCGAACGATGAATGCGCGCAGGCCGCGCGGTATCGAAAGCGCCCGTCCGCAAGCTACCAGAGAATGTTTTTCTTCTTTCGTCGTGCCGTGAGCATTCTCAACTCCACAGTCCAAAAATGATTCCGAATTTAAAAAATTCGAAAATTTGAGTTTGAATTAATGGAGTTTAAATTTCATTTTTAGCACCCATTTGGGAAGCTGTCGAGGGATAACCTTCGTAGAAGCCGAAAACTCTCATGTTTCTGCAATTACTCAAATGCCAAGAAGTAATAAACCGGCTTCACGAGCGATGGAGCAGCCTAATCACAGCGTCGTACCTCACACGGGTACCTATTACGCTTATAGCGTGTGAGAACTGGAGGCGCGCGGGTGGCACGGTGAAAATATAGTGCGCGCGGACCGTACGCTAAGGATTCAAGGCGCGCGGGTCGCACGGTACGTGACCCCTCCCGTAAATCTAGGCGCGGGCCGCACTGCTGGCCATTAACAAGCGCGCGCCGCACGCACCGAATGTCAGAGATGTTGTCTTTTTCAGGCCATTTTCTTTCTAGACCAAACTTTGGTGGCGTACCGAGAGGAGCGTGCGGAAGGGGAGAGGGGCCTTGAGAATGGGTCGCGAAAATTTTGAAAGTTACGGTTATAAGAATGTGCAAGTGTCTCATTTATACTTGTAAATAATTGAAATAATTTTTTACAATTTTAGAAGTTCAAACTAGCCCCACGCCCCTTTTTTTCTGAAATTTAGAGATTAGGGGCCCGCAAAAATTTTGGGAAGTATGCCAAAAATTTTTCCGGAGTGCGTCACTGACGCACTCTCATCAGATTAATTTTTTGTCCCCAACCCTCCGAACGGAAATCCTGGGTACGCCACTGCCACACTTCCATTACACTTACAAAAAAGGTCATAACTTCTTAAAGAAAAACGTTTCGCAGATATAGAAGATATACTTAGGACACAGTGGCGTACCCAGGTTTTCGGCTCGGAGGGGGGGGGGGACAAAATTTTTTTCAATGAAGGTGCGTGGCGTCAGCCACGCACCCAGAAAAATTTTTTTCTACGCTTCTCAAAATTTTCGCGGGCCTAAACCACGAAATTTTAAAAAAAAAGGAAGCGTGGCATCAGCCACGCCCCCGAAAAAAATTTTTTATGAGGCTAAATCGAATTTTTTAAAACTTTAAAAATTTTTCTAATTAGTTACAAGTTTAAATAAGTCTCTTGCACATTTTTATGACTCATGTGGCGCTCCCCCGCCCCCGCTCGGTACGCCACTGATAGGACAGCGTTTTGAGCTCTATCCGTTGATACAGATCACCTTCAGAATCGCTACTTCTACCAAGCAAACATCCCTTGGTCACGTTCTTTCTTCCACGTAATAATATCAAACTTTTGCATACAATCCGCATGTAGTATCGTACGACGTAATGCAAGTGTGTGTATGTTTTGTTTGAGCCAAAGATGTGCTTTTGCTAATGCTTTTACAAGATGCTTTGAGTGTGTGAGTTTATTTATACCCACTTTTTCTTATTATGCATCCTGATTTTCTAGCAAAGCCAGAGTTCAACTGCTCAGACAATGGCCGGGGGCAAGCGGCCCGCAAACTCGCAATTTTCTGCAGGCAGTCAGCAAGATTTTGGGGCGTGGCCAATCCTTCAGCGAGCGGTACTTGCGCGTTCTGTCAGCAGGCAGCAATACAAAATTTTTTGCAAGCGCTCGTCAAAAAGTCTCTTTCAGCAAGCGCGGGCCAAACTTTTGGCAGACGCTCGGACCCTTTTTATGCAGTTTTGGGCGTACGCCCAGCAAAGGTGAGACTCTATTTGGCAGAGGTATCATCGATGGTTTGATTTCCCGAGTTTGGGGTACCTTCTTTCAACGGAAGGTACAGGGCTTTTCAACCTGAGGGATCGTTCATACCGCGCACAAAGGCGGACGAAGCCGGACGAAGCCGGACAAAGGCGGACGAAGGCGGACGAAGCCGGACGAAGGCGGACGAAGCCGGACAAAGCCGGACAAAGGCGGACGAAGGCGCGTGTGAGTGTGTGTGTGCGTGTCGAGAGAAACGAGACGAGACGAGACCGCGCCTTCGTCCGCCTTCGTCCGCCTTTGTCCGGCTTTGTCCGGCTTCGTCCGCCTTTGTCCGTCTTCGTCCGGCTTCGTCCGGCTTCGTCCGCCTTCGTCCGCCTTTGTGCGCGGTATGAACGATCCCTGAGAGTCGCAAGTTTCGCTTGCGCGGCTCCTCCAACGCGGCCGCCTCGCTCAGGCCGCGCGCGGCGTTTGCTGCGTATCACCCGGATTTCGCCAAGCTTCAGTCGACGCGCAGCCAGCGCCACGAACGCTGCGCGGACCTGAGCGTGGCGTCCTAGCGGGGCGGGTGGGACACTCAGGTTGTAAAGCCCTGTACCTAGGGCCGCGCGGTCCTTCACAAAGGACCGTGCGGCGCCCAACATTTTTGCATATTCCCGTGGAACATCCACGGGAATTGCCACTGCGCCGCAACTAACCTATGGAAATCCCTACACCTTCACCCAGAAAATGCCTAACAGTCTCCCAAATATCTGCAAGCGGAGCGCAAGAAATCAGCAACTATATTTCCAGTGTTCGCTTGAGTTTGAATCGCATGGCCGCCTACCTCCGGCGATTCTCTGAGCGGAGGCTATGGCACGGCTGCCAACGGATCCATACTAGTTCGTAAAGTGGAGAAAACTCGGAAATCAGCTGATTCGCATCAACCTTCTGATCTAGACCAGCCTTCAGCAGGATTTCGCTGGCTTTATTTGTATGTTTCATGCAAATGTTTGTTGCTTTGGTTGTCATATCACTTTCTAACAACTTACCTGTACTTTATTTGTATGAGCTTATCAATTCATCGATGTTATGGGTGTAAGAGTTTGTGGGGGCCGATGCTTCCGCTGTACCCGCTTACGACTGCATTCTGTCTACCCGCTTACGACTGCATTCTATTTTTTGGACTCCAAATAACTCCCCGTGCAAAACGTCTCCTCCGCCAAAAACAGGGGGGTGGGGGTCGGGGATACATTACTCGACGCCATAAAAAAATTGCACATAGTTTTGACTTACGTGCTTTAAGGGCCGGTCATACCGGTCAGCGATCCATCGCCGCGATGGATGATCGTCGCGACTGGGTGGAAACTAGTGACGAAAACGCGCGACGGATCGCTGATCGCTTGAATAAGGGGGCATCCCACCACGGCGATGTGTGCATTCTCACACTACGTCACATAAATAACTTTCGCACAAGCTCACCTGTCTTATGTAAGTCGAGCTACATGTTAGAATATTCTTGTTCCTTTTTTTTTCTCGACATTCTTCAACAAATCCATTCTTGGACCATGAAAGTTTTCGTAAATAAAAAGAAAAATTCTGCCAAGAAAGGGTACTCGACGACGAAGTGAAACAAAGCCTGAGCGCAGTACCTCTGCCACTTGGCGTGAGTGACAATTGCTGATAAATCAAAAGGCTTCCATTTCACGGAAAACCAATGCACTTTGACAAAACTAAAATGGTTTCCAATCCCCAGACACGAGAACAGCTTAAGAAAGTAAAGAACAATTATAAAACTTTCCTGGAAAGAGATCCCAATCCTAGCGATCCATCGCGTCGCGCATTTGAAATGAGCGACGCGAATTCGCTAGGATGAGCGACGATCGCGGCGATTTCGCTCAAATCGGTATGGCCGAGTAGAAAACGGCCCGCGATGCATCGCGCCGGACAGCTAGCACAGATACGCAGTTATCTCCGGCCTTGTAACACTTGCCCTTTGGGAAAGTCAGCGACGCGATGGATCGCTGACCGGTATGACCGGCCCTTTACGTTGATTGCGTTTTGCACGTTTTGTCGCCTAACGCTTGCCCTCCCATTCTGTCGGGTGGGGGAACGCTTCGCCCGCGTGTAAACTCGTACAGATTCTGCAATGTTTACGCGCCTCTGCACTAATCGCCGCAAATTGCACGCCAAATAATGCTCGATCGCATTCCTTCGTATTTTTCATCACTTTTTGGACTTTTCTTATCTTCTTCCTCATCGTACTAATCTTGCACAGCGTCGGCTATGCTCGGTATCCAATCTCGCGTCCCTGTTTCACAACTCAGATTTTCGTTGCGTACCAGCGGCGTACCCAAATGGCTTTGCGTACCAGCGGCGTGCGCTTAGCGTGCCAACGGCGTTCCTTAATGCGCCCTACCAGCGGCGTACCGTCTTTTGGCGAGCGGCGTTCCATCAATGCAATTGCAGACCAGCGGCGTTCCATCAACCCAAGCAAGCGAGCGGCGTCCCATCACATTACCCCACGCTGTAAGCGTAAGCCGTACCCGCATGGGATACGACGCAGTGGTTGGGCTGCCTCTGCACTTTAGTGGTTGGTTAATACTTCTCGGTACTTGACAAAAGAATAAGGTTGAATTGTTGTTCCCATTGAGTGACCTGATAACAACTCAGCTGAGTGTTGTAGGGGTGGCCCATAATCCCTTGATTTCGATTCAATAAAGTTCATCAATCGAAATAACAGGAAATTTTGCGCTAAGCAATTTTCAAACCAACTAATGCTGAAACAGTAATCAAAAATCGGGTGAACATGCGGTCCGAAGGCGTACCCTCTTGGCGTACCAGCGGCGTACCATTCTCCTCCCAGCGGAGTTCCACAGCGTACGAGCGGCGTGCGACTGCCGCACCAGCGGCGTTTGCGTGTTCCGCTCAGACGAGCATCGAACGCCGCTGGTACGCAACGAAAGTCGGAGAAGCTTTCCGTTATTTTTATGCAGAATCTTCGTTTTCAATAACCAGTTGCTTTGTGGTAGCTGTGTGGTTGTCCTACTTGATTGCGGTATGATTGAATTTTGTTGGTGAACGTCGTCCTCGACTAGTATTCCGCATTGTTTATGTCGTTGGTTGGTATGTTCACATAAAATGTCTGATGCTTTCAGGCATATCGTCTACGCACCCAAAGCTATAAGTTTTCGAGGCTGTCAACATCATCTGCGTAAGTTTCACTTCTTTTAATTCGTTTAATGTTCATTTTGCAAGTACGCTTGTGTTATGTATACGTTACTTGTCTATTTATATATGCTTTACATACATTTGTTTGTGTATATATGCACTATGTTTGCTGATTATGTTTGTGTAGTTTCTATGTGTATGTTTGTGTAGTTTTGTTTGTATATGTGTGTGCATGTTTCTGTATAAATTATGTTTGTTGTTTGTGTTTATGTGTATATGTTTGTATGTGTATGTTTGTGTATATTTGTTTGTATGTGTGTGTGCATGTATGTGTATGTGTGAGTGTGCATGTTTGTCGTATTATGTTTGTTGTTGTGTTTGTATATGTATGTTTGTGTATATTTGTTCGTATATGTGTGTGCATCTTTGTGTACGTGTGTGTTTGTTGTCGATCTGTACTGGTGGAATGTCCGTGTGCTTGTCTGCTTTATTCATTGTTGTTTTCTGTACTTACATTTGAAGTTTTATGTTTCAGATATCATCGTAACGCTCGTACGTCAATCTGCGTAAGTCTTTCATGCTTCATGTTCACATTTTCCTTTGTTGTAGTTACATAGTGAGATTGTGGTTACTTCGGTCAGTATATTTCGTGAGTTCCATTGCAAGCATGCACTCGTACTTATGTATCATTTGTGCATGATTATATGATGCTTCTTAACTACGAGGTTCACGAGTATGAGTTCTATGTTGATGATTTCAGTGTGAATCGGAGACAGTTGGAGTCAAACTTCCACATCAAAGACGTCATCTGTGTGGATGCGGTGCAGGAGGAACCAAAGGCCTGCCGCCTGTAGCCGTAGGAGATAATTAGGAGCGCGAGCGCTGTGGAGAACATTTTGGCAAGGATCCTGGAAAACTTGGCGAGGACATCCATTAGAAACAAGCACTTATAATTCTCCTTGAAATTAACCTCAAAAAATACGAAGGACAGATTTGGAATCAGTATTGAATTGCGCATTTTTCAACAATACGCTTACCGGATAGATAAACAACTCTTCTCGCTACACGATATTTTCATCAAAAACTGTGCCTTCACCATTTTGAGCCGAGGAATTTCAAGATCAGTGTTGCGGGAAAGATTTCAAATTTTTAATGAAATTTCTGGATTCGAAGTTGAAAGTATGGAGTGGTATTAAAAAAATAATGTTAACTAAGTTGCATGTGATGAACTTTTGCTATTGTGTACGATCTCGAAAGGATTATTAACATGGTTTCAATGACAAATCCTATGAAATTCTAATGTCAAAATTTAGAATTAAAATAAATTTTAAGTTATGAGACAAACTGCATATTGCATCTTGACACAAACCTCCAGATGTTTTCATATGACACTTTGATTGCTTTGGTTCATTGACTCAAAAGATAAACTATTCAGTTATCTCAAAGAGAAAAGAATGAATTTTGAATGAAAACGCCGGAATTCAACAATTTGAAACTTTGAAGTTCAAAATAAAGAGTCTCATAAAGTAGTTGACCTTTTACCATCACAATTCCAAAATTTCACTTATTTTTAGGCCCAGTGAAAGCGCCTTCCAATTTGCATTACAAATCTGTTTTTCAAATTTTTCAAAGTCAATTCCAGGCAAAGTTATGAAGAATTGTTCCTAAAGGATGTCCTTGCCGAGTTTTCTTGGATCTCTGCCAAAATATTCTCCACAGCGCTCGCGCTCTCAATTATCTCCCGCGGATGCAGGCGCAGTCCTTTGGTTCCTCCTGCACCACCCCCCATCTGTGTAGGTTTTCCTAGTGTTCTTGTATTTGTTGTTCGTAGTCATGCTGTGATTATGGTGACCTAATGCGCATTAGATTCCATATCTGCTTCAAACGTTAATTGGTCACAGTAATAGCAGTTGGCTACAATGATTGTGGAATGATATGGAATGGGGTAATGTTCTTGTTTTGAATGAACATCTACAGGAATGTGTTCTCATAAACAACTGAGCGGTTATGATGGACTGTCAACACCATTGACTTCTACGTCTGCAAGAATCGCATGATTTTGGTGATGTAATGTTTCTTTCTTCTATCTTTCTGTCTTTCTATCCTTGCGTGGCTGACTTTTACTAGAATCACTCAGTACTCTCTTTTTTGTGATAGGATGAGCTTTGTGATTTGAAGTGATAGCGTCACGCATCTTTTCCGTTGCATTTCCTTCTTTCTTTCACACTGCATGTATGGTAAGGCGGCTGTCTTTCAAGGCTGTTTGAGTATGATTCAATTGCTTCTCTATCGGCTTTCCACTAACAAATGTCTCTGTGCAGCATTAACCGTTCAGTCATTAACCCAGGTTTGATTTGATTTCAAATCATTTTTACAGCGAAATGAGTGCAAGTGAAGGCCAACCTCTTCTCCCCGAGGTGGATAAGCTGAGCGGAGCACTTACATACACACCTGCGGACCCACCAAGTGGTAACGGTACAGATTTTCAAAGGAACCTTTTCATATGAGTTTTTGTAGCCGGAATTCAACAACAAGGCGAAGTTTTTAACGAGGTTGGGCCATGGAAAAGTCTTACTACATTTTGGAAATAATTTGGATCACCTAGATAATGCGAACTCGAGCATTCCTAATTGACGACTTCATGACAAAGCTTGAGATTTTTAGAGCAAATCACGTCGGTTTCGGATAAACTTTCGTTTTTTCTAGAATTACGATGCACCTGGACCCTAGGGGATAAATAACGAAAAATTTTAGCTAAGAGAAACGCAGGTAAGCCGCAAAGGTGGACAGGTCTTGTCGTATCGAATTCCAGGTACGGATACGGCGCATGTGTTTGCGTTCTCGAAAGAGAAGAAAGGATACGACCAATATAGTTGCGTAAAATGCAAAGCTCTCAACAAAACGACCACTATTCGAGTGAGCAGCACTTCGCCAAAACATTTACGCGCCTAAGCTAAGAAATGGTAACTCAGGTCATTGATAAAAATTCTTGAGCGACCCCTGCCAGCTCAACCACGTATGCGTCCCATCTACCGTAGCGAAGGGCTTGGCGGCAAGAGCATCTTACCAGGTGAACTGCGGCAGATCCATTACAGAGCCGAAGAAGATGACTTCTCAGATGCTACAAGACCTTCGAAACGACCCGAAGGCTAGCAGCAGGCCTCCTCTCAGGCACTGACTGGACACCATCAGACAGCTAGACCGGGACGCCACCCTAGGTGCAAACCAGCTTTGGTTTACTCTGTTAATCAGGGTTATTCCTTGTTGTAGAGGAGGACTTGCGAGCGCACGTGGTGGACGAATTTCGCGGAGAGGGGTATTCGCACAAAAAACGCGCAATCAGAAAATATGTGGGAAGAATACAGCTAACTACACGCAGTAGACAATGGAAATATTGCAGGGCTTGCGGTAGCGGTCACACTGACGCCGTTACCATGGATAGCGTCCCCAGCTATCTAGCAAATTTGTCGGATGGAAGTTCATTCCTGCAAGTTAAATAGCGCGGAATGCACGTCTACATATCTGATGCATCGGTCGGTGCCTGCCAATTCTTGCCAATTAAACCAGTTCGGACCCTTGCTGTTTTAGAAAGCTTGCAAGAATGGGTTGTCGGTGCTGGTGGCGGACGGCGTACACAGCAAAGCCCCGCGATGCATCAAGAAAGGCTCGCAGCTCTATGTTATTCATGGAGTCTGCCGCGGCGGGTTCGACGTCCCTTTCTTTACGCCATCATGGAAAAGAAAGATAAGCAGTCTTACGAAACAGTACTTTCACACCTGAAGACCCACCTGCTTAGGTTTGGTGCTGTCGATGGACTGCAAGTAGTCGTGGACTACGAAAAAGCTGCGATTGCAGACATCCGCACCGTCTTTGAGAGGAGTGCAGTCCAGCGCTGTGCATTCCATCTTGCGCTAGCGTGGAACAGGCGGCGAAATGCGTTCGAGCTCACTCGTTTTATATCTGGTAAAGACACCACAGCAGACGTCGTTGGCTGGTAGAACACCATCAAATGCCTAGTTTTTTTGCCGAAGCGTCTGCATGGTGTTGTCCGCGCATTAAAGGAGCCGCCTGTTCCGCGCGACCATCCAGCCTATGCGTGCTGTACTAATTTTTTGAATTACCTAGGTAAAACATGGTATAAGGGTCCCCTGGCTAGCCTTTGGGATAAGTCCGGCATATACGATGTAAGGACCACAAACATAGCAAAAGCCTTTTACCGGTTAGAGGGTCATAAGGGAACTCGTTACGGTCTGATATAAACCCTTTTAAGGCGACTGACCGTTTTGCTGGATGACTTCCCGGTGCTGTCGGAAGTCATCGACACGTTTCATACGTTAGAGGCGGAGTGCAGAGCTACGCTGAACTCCCATGAGATGGTGAACATATTATAATTAAGTAGTACAAACATCCATCCGCTCATCAGCTAAGTTCTTTTTTAGCACCCCGACCACCAGAAGGAGATTAGCCACGAAGCCCTCCAACGACGAGATAGCTGCAGCGATGAGAACGTACGCGTCCCACAAGCCAACTAAATTAACTAATTCACAACTCCCTTATACAGGTTCGAAGATCAGTATAGGGCTCGTGGTGTGACCAGGGAAGAGGCCGAAACATATTGTAAGAATATGGCGAGATTTGTAACAGATAAAGCATTTTAAACTTTTATCATTCTACATCACACAAAGTTCACATTCTACATCACACAAAGTTCATAGAAAAAGTAAACACAGAAAGAACAAGAAAGTAAACGCATAAAGAACAAGCAAGAAAGGACAATCAAGGTAAAAATTTCAATAGATGAAAACACAATCATGAATGACGTACAATTTTCGGACATTTATTGCTACTGTAGCATTCTTCTCATTGCAGACAAGAGAGCAAATAATCCACCAGAAAAACAGGCAAGGCGCTCCATCTTCCACTCCTTCCTCGAATGTTTGCAAAGTCCTTAAATAAAATCAGAAAATGTCATGTTAAGAAAAAAAGAGAGCGTTGACCATAGCTTGTTCTTTTCCATAGCAAAACAGCTGCATCGTACTCTCTTGTTGAGTTCATCCTTTTTGCCAGTTATCAGCCAATGTTTAAGCAAATATTCATAAAAGCTATCACCCGTTGGATGGTGGTTGTAAAAGAAAAACGGGATCAACTAAAGCAAGTAGATCATATCAAGTAAAACTTACATAAACTCCATTGATCAGTCCTAGAATTGAGATAAAGGAGTAAGTCCGGCTTATCCATGAAGTGAGTAAGTTCCTTTTTTCCAGCCTTCAAAAAATTATCCACGTAAGTGCAAGTACAGAGATGAAAAGCAACAGAAACAAACCTTATTTCCGTAACGTTTATTAGACACTCAGATTCAAGCGGAAGTGAACCAAACTCAGAAAGAATTGAGCAACCACCATGTCGAAATAAGGTAACAGCATCTTCCCGCTTGCTTCAGCCTGCGCTGTGTAAGCCCTAGAGAAGCAATAGAGTCAGAGGATGGCGAGCAGACACCTACTTTATCGTTCGTCAGTGCATATAACGACAGAAGCCAACCGATAAAACGTATATTTGTCTCGAACAGAGATACGTCACCTCTCTAAATCAGCTTTGCAAGTTTAAACAAATGATTTCAGTGAACTACCGCTGCTTATAAAAAGTCGACGGTGTTGAAGATCCAACTCCGAGCCATTATCCATAGTGTGTCGATAGCACCTACTAATGTAGCCACAGTGTTGTCCATTCCAAAAACGGATGCAGCATGACCTGAAAGTGCACTTGTAGAAGTGGACATCATTGCCACGAATTGATTCACTGTTTAAAATTGCAAAATCATGACTTCCTTGTATGTGAGAAGGACCCAAATTCTTAATGACCTGATAGTTCAAAGTTGCAATTCTATATAGAACTTCTTCTTTGAAATTACAACGTCACCAAGAAATACCTTACAGCAGTGAGGACGGAAGTAAACCCCTATAAAACTATGAAAGGAGATTGAAAGTGCAAGGAATGCCAAGTTAGCTCTTTCGAAACAGGTCGCAACTCATTGTGACTCCACATAGTTCCAGACTGTCCCAGAAACCTCGTCATATACAGTATGTGTCAATCACGTACTCCCTTTCGCGTAGAAAATACGCGTGCGCAAGGCGAGGGCCCTCCGTGACTTCCGATCGATAAGGCCTCTTCGAGAAAGCTCAAGCCACATGCGCTCGAAGCCCTAGCGTGGCCGTAAAACGGAGCACGTGATAGACAGTGACCGTATAACGACGATATAGAAAATATTAAAATGACGAAAAAATGAGAGAAAAGATGAGAGAAATTTCCAAAACGATAGTATCTGTTTGACGGTAAGTCTTCTTGCCTCAAATCGGCGGCAATTCCAAATGTCAGTATTGTGGTGCCACGTACCGGCGTTCAGTTCTCCGGCGCAACTTCTTTTGTAAGACTCTAAAATTAAGATTTGAGCTAGCTTGAAGTGCAAAATTTCAAAAAAAAAATGAAGAAAAACAAAAAATACAAAGGAAAGACGAAATTGAGCAGTCAATCACAAAGGTGATTGCCCATCATACAGGAATTTCTGAAAAAAGAGAACTTACCTCAATCCCACATCAGAATTGCGGAGCAATTTGCTGACTGATGAGTTCATGACAACCAGTTGAGGGTAGCATACGCAATGAGAGGAACGATTCATGGCAAGAAAGGCGATTCCCAATAGAACCGCATTCCACTCGCTTATTTTCATACCCGTAACCCGTAAACAAGGCAGACAGAAAAACGACCTAAATGACTAACTCTGTGATTCACTCAAATCGAGTATGAAATCAAAAAGTACACATCTCTTGCTAAAAAAAAGGGCAATTTTGTGGTGAGGTGACAGCAATCTACAGCAATCGTAACGGCAAGTGTGCAAAAGCGTTAATTCTGCACAAGATGCGTAAAGATCACAAAAAAGGAAATAGACTAGATACCATACACAAATGACAAAGAAAAAGGGTAGCATGATGCCAAAGATGATAAGAAAAGTCCAAAAAGAGTGAGAAATGAGAAGAAATGCGAATGGGCATTATTTGGCGTGCAATTTGCGGCGAATAGTGCAAAGGCGCGTCGACATTGCAGAATATGTACGAGTTTACACGCGGGCACCGCGTTCCCTGGCGGCTTTCGTTCCGGGTTGAGCCAGACTTCGCGGGGAAGCGGCGTACGCGACGTACGCAGCGTACGCTCGGTATCTCAGACATTCGCAGTTAAGTCCCGCCGGAGATCCGCCCACAAAATGAGATTTCGCGAGAAAACCGGGAGTCTTGCGCGACTCCCGGTTTTGTCCCGACTTTCGGGACAATCCCGACAGTTAAAAAGTGGCGGGAGATTACCGGGAGTCGCGATCATCGATTGTGACGCCATAGGTTGTCGATGTTGTCGGTGTTGTCGATGTTGTCGGTGTTGACGGTGTTGTCAGTGTTGTCGGTGTTGTCGGTGTTGTCAGTGTTGTCGGTGTTGTCGGGGTCAGAGATATTTTAAAGAGCGCGCGAAACGTGGAGCTATCATGAGGTCCTGCAACGACCGGCAACCTCGACAACCCCAACAACACCGACAACACCGACAACATCGACAACATCGACAACACCGACAACCTATGGCCGTTCCCTTGCGCGTCAGTATCGATTCATTCCTATTTCCACAAAGGCTGTTTGTTTTGTTTTCGATTGGTTTTCGTTTGGTTTTCGTTTTGTTTTCGAGTTGGTTTTCGATGCATAGGACGTAGATTGGCGCAACCCCGTTGTTTTGTGCAATTGCGTATGCGTACACACGCAATCAAACGCCAAAAGGATGGTTGACTAATACTATCCATCTTTCTCTTTCATCCTTTTCTCTCCACTTCATAGTCTGTGCTCTCGCTGTCGACCTTAATACCAACAATCGTATTCATACCTATCGCGGCTTGAATTATTCCTTGTTGAACTTTCAATGCTGTGTTTTGGGTTAGAACATCGAAAAGTTGGTTCAATGCATAGGTCGTAGGGTTGCGCAATCCTCATTGTTTTGTGCAGTTGCGTATGCATACACACGCAATCGAACACCAAAAAGGATGGTGGGCTATTATCCACCTGTTTCTTTCATCCTTTTCTCTCCGCATCATAGACTGCGCTATAGCTGTCTGCTTGGTACCTTAGTCGTATTCATATTAATCGCATTTTACATTACTTCTTTTTTTATCATTCTATACTCTTGTTTTGACGTTAGCACAAATATTAGTTCTCAATACATAGGTCGTAGGGTTGCGCAATCCTCATATTGTGCAATTGCGTATGCATACACACGTGGCCTTACGCCATATAGGATGATTGGCTATTACTCATCCACCCACAGTTTCTTTCATCCCATTCTCTCCACTTAGTCTATGCTATCGCTGTCTGCCTTAGTACCTCTATATCTATTCATATCGATTGCGGCTATACTATAATAATTCCTTTTTAATCATTCAACGTTCTGTTTCGGGTTAATCATAGAAATAGTTGGTTCGCAGTACATAGACCTTGGATCAATTTTTTGTGCAATCACATATGTATATACGTGCAACCTTACGTCAAAAAAGAACGGTTGGCTATATTACTTTTCCTTACTGTTACTTGCATCCTTTTCTCTCTATACTTTACACTTGTACTATCGCTGTCTACCTTGCATACATTCACGGGAACTCAAGTGCTTCCAGTGATTTCCTCCATTCAAGGGTACCTATTGTAGTTGTTATCGATACAGCAGCACTAACCTTAATTTCACGCGTACAAGGCGCGGGTGGTCCTAGCTTTCATCGACCAGCCCGAACACGGCAAAGGACTTCGCAACCAAAGAAACCCCATACCGTGCTGCGTTTTGCCTGACGAATCGTGCGGCATAAGGATCGCTTCTTAAAACACGTTGGGGCGGCTGAGTAGTTCGATGAAAGCTAGGACCACCCCGCGCCTTGTACGCGTGAAACTAGGGTAATTTTGTTTCAGAATGCTAACATGATCGAGCGATTCGAGAACTGGACGCAGCCATCAAGGGCACACAAGAATGACCTTTTTTTTAATGATGGATTTTTATAGGTTCTATTTTTTGCATGTAAGTGAGACTAAATTTTCGAGTCTATCCTAATCGAGAGGGGCGCACTTAGGCATGCCAGCCAAAACAAGAAATCCAAAACTTTGCATGCAGACAATCCGGTAAAAGGGGAAGATTTCCTCATCTGCAGGACCTGCCCGAAAGTCTGGTCACATTTTTGATAAGTGAGTGATTGATGGTCTTTCTAAAAATTCTAAAATAGATCTTCCAGATTTCGTTCTTGATGGTGTTGGCCTATACGCAGAAGAACTGCTGATGAGTGCTACCGAATGCGCGCGGCAATCAAATAGGTATAGATAGAAGTGTTTCTACCCCTTGATATCTCGTTGAATCAGATTTTGGCTGGACCTAGGGGAACGACGATGAGGCGAGGACGAAGACGTTTGAGAGGTTGTCGGAGGCGAGGATGAAGCTTAATGGATTAGCACGAGCGGCTATAGGAAGAGCTTTGTGGGTTTCTTTCAAAGATATTCTTCATGAATCTATTGAATTTGAAGTTCAGAGGTGACGAGCGCGCCTACCATTTCGATGCTGATAAGGAGATGCTGTCGCCACCCTCGGTAAAATTCATATATGATTTCTCAAATCAGTGTTGAATTGTTACTCTTTTCCAGAAAAACGTTTTTGCCCCACTACAACGCAAGATTCTTTGGCGCACGAGCACACGTATGAGCCGGAGCATGAGCAAGACGAAGACATCGAAAGTGTGAAGTCGATTTGAATAATGGATTCAATCTCAAATCTTGATCTCGACATTCCTGTTTTTTTTCTGTTAACTTAATTATAGTGATTTCAATGTTCTTTTTTGGTCACGAATGCTAATGAAGAGTATATCTGAACTCTGTATCGAGCACAGCACCTTTGTAAGATGTGTGTAGTACAAATTTTTGAAGGAGAACCAATTCTAGAAAAAGCCCAGCCCAAAGCTGATCGGGTCGCTGCTATATCGCGTCTCCCGCAGGAGACTGCAGTCTAGAGCGGGAGTCCCGCCGGTGACCGAATCGCGAGAAAACTGGGACTCCCGCAGATCTCAGTAGAAAACATTTCGGGACAAAACCGCGTGTCGCGCCGCATTATCCCGAACGAAAACCGGGAGTCCCGGTTTCCTCGCGAACCATTTTACTTGTGTCCCGCAGTCATTCCGGCGGGACACAACTTTTTCACCGGCGGGACTTAACTGCGAATGTCTGAGATATTTCATCATAGGAGCATACGCGGCGTACGCTGCGTACGTCGCGTACGCCGCGCAGTCTGGCCCAACCCTCCCCCACCCCATTCTGTCAAAGCATTCTGCCAGTCTGTATCTTTAGTAACTTTGTTTGGGTGAAATAAACCGCTATCGTCAAGCAGTCATGATACCTTATATCAATTTTTATCGCATTCTAGTATGTCTGTTCTTAATATCAAAAAATCCGGTTGTTTGACCAAAAGTTTCACAAATGCTTTTTTTGGGCAGAAATTGTCAGTGTTTGGGAAGTGCCACCAACGTCCTATAACCAACTCTATCTGTATTTCCTTCATATTCGGCCCTGGAGGATTACTTGGTATGCTGCTCGCAAATAAAGCACTCAACTCGCACTGCAAAGCCATATTATGGGTAACGGTAGATATGACTGAGGGCAAGATTGTAGGTTGCCTTGCAGCGCTGTTGAACGGGGTTATGCAACATGCGAAATTGAATGCTAATCACATCCTGTGCCCGTATTCATCAACGAACCCCGAGGGTTAAACTAACCCTGGAGGGTTAGTTTAACCCTGGAAAACGCTTAACCAGTATTCATGAAACACAGGGTAGGCTTAACCCTGAGGGTTAAATCTAACCTTGAGGGTTAATTTTACCCCGAAAGCGACTAACCCGTATTCATCAACGAACTGTGAGGGTTAAATTAACCCTGAAGGGTTAAACTTACGTGATTCATCAGGGTTAATTTAACCCTAGCTCAGAGCAAGGTTAACTCTACCCTAACACTTCATACAAACATTTACTCGCATCTAATAGTTTATGGAAAACGATTCACGAGTATTGTAGTATCTAGTACCAGTGCGTCACCTCTGCTTCGCAGAGGCTCCTGAACGGCACTCGTGGTAGATGTAGAATTCGTGTGAGTTGGCGGCTGCGCTGCTCAGTATATGAACTCCGCGATGGAGTTAAAAGCAGACTAGGTACAAGATGCGCACGCAAGGAGCCGACTTTTATGTGAAGGTGGGTGTACCGATAGCAGGTGTAGGAGGGCGGGGCCGCGCGAGGCGTTTTGGAACCTTTTGCAAAGCAGCGGCAGACTTCTTTAAAGAGGTTCGCAATAAGCAAGCGGTGACACATGCTGGTGCCGATGCTCACGTATAATCCCACATTCTTTCAGAGAGTCAATTTGAAATTTGAAAGTTACTTTGAATCCTCTCCAAAAATTTGTCGCGCAACCAAAAAAATGAGTTTTGAAATGGTCGGTGCTTGGTCGTAGTTCCCGTAGGTTCCGGCACCGCGCATGTCAGGTCCCCCGTCCTACAGCAATTGGCGTTCTGATCTAACACTTTCATTTTCAAAACCCACTGTAAACCACGAGGGATCGATATTACCTTAAGGGCAGTGGCTCGGCAAATCTCAGCCTAGTCAAATTTGCGCTTACCTGGGGTTTTTAATACGCTGATCCGAAAATCCACTTTAGAAAGCTTGAAAACGGCGAAAATGAGCGTTTTTTAATCCCTTCCCTTTGATATTGGACGAGCGGAGCACGGCCGATGACGCCAAATCGTGGCAGGACCCAATGGTTATAGCGTTGCGGCGGCAGCCTTCAATGGTGGGAAGGAAATAGCCAACTCGTCCAGATGCGTGTAAGATTGGCCTGCGCGTGTAAGTTCGAGAGCGATTTTCTCGGCAGGGAAAGCATGCTGTGCAACCGGGATTGCACTGTTTTCATAGTTGGGCGATAAGGAACCTACCGCGTTAAAATCCCGAGTTGTTGGATTTTGCCGATCCACTGCCTTTAAGTTTGGTTGGGCGGGTTTTACCAATTACTGCCAATACACCTGCTTCCAACATATACATTTGCTTATGTTTGAATAAGAGCATTTTTGCTAAGAGCAGGGGGCATGAGACAGACTCCATCGAACCTCTATACCTGTGATGACTTCATATTAGTCTAGACAAGCTCATCCCTTTCTATCCCTAGAAAATATTTTGCGAGCTGGACTTGAGCTGATTCAGTGGGGTGTGTGCCTGTTTTTGTTCTTGTTTTTTTTGTCCCTAATTGTTTAGTGCGATGCTTCGTTCTGTGTATTGGGCACGCCTTGTGCGTATCAAATAAATAAATAAATAAATAATCTGATTTTGAAAGGTTTACGATATATCTCCAGAAGTTCTATCCGTATGTGTGCCATCTTGCCGACATCTATGATGCCACAAGGTAGGATAGATTACTACCGCCCCAGATAGCAAAATATAGCGGAAATGTGGTCTATGGCATGAGATCATGTGCACAAGATTTCAGACTGTGAATCCCCATGAAATCATCGGAGTATTCTTCTTAGATGACGTGGTGATGGATGAGTCCGTCCATGGCGCAGGTTTCGCAGTGGCCAGCCAACAAAAGACTGCGTTTGATAGAAGCAGCAGACCAGCGTGAATGAGAAATACTGCTCGCCACTCTTCCATAGCTCCTGTGGGAAGCAGAAATGAAACCTAAATCCAAACACTGTTTTACGACAGGACTCGAACGACTGAGATGTTACCACGACTGGGCAGATCAACATGGTAGAGCACCAGATGTTTTGAATATTAGCAAGCACGAAATGGCTATGTTGCCGCGACACTAGTGTCGCACACTAAAAAAATTGGATATATTTCAAGACCATTATTCTTTCCGTTACTGAGGGGACTAGAGGGAAAACTAACAAGTCGAGAATCTACACAACTTATGCAGTTGTTACAAGATATAGAGATTGTTGCATACTTGCCTAGCAGCTATTTTAGCTTCCACATTCGTCGAACATACATTAAAATAAAATCATTCCCAGATCAATTCTAAAAGTGCACATGACTTACTTGAAAACGAAACACCTGTATCTCAAAGCGATAAGTGCTCACTTCTTTTGCAAGCTAGTGTTTGATGATAACTCAGGTTCAGAAATTTCTTCTGACGTTTTTAGTTCAGATGCGCCCACGTAACAAAATTTCGCAGAGGTGAACACGTTTCAAAATTTTCTCGAAAATTTTCTGTAGAAGGGACGGATGGTGTAGCGGCACGAGGCGCTGCTATAACCAAATCGGACCCACGTTCGATCCCGCTTCTGAGCCAATCAAACCCTCTGCCCCGGGCCGCTGAATTGGTACCAGAGAATTTGGAAGATAATAGCACCAACTTGATAAATTAACTGGCCTCGCAAATCACTGTAAAAGGTCCACGCACATTCGATAGCCTCTTCGACTATAAAATAGAGTAAATCCGGTGCATGCTCGCAGAGGGTATTGAAAACACCAAAATCTTTATTCTTTATTTATCCTGATTTTAAGTAGTCTGAAAGAGCTCGCAGAAAATTGTGTCGTAGAGTGTTGCTTTATCCGCCTACTATCAGATAACGTTCAAAAAACTAAGATAAAGCTGTGCAAATTAGCCGAAGTTAAGATAAAAACGATGTTTCAAATGTCGGCGAATTTTTAAGTGATTCTGAAAATTTGCTACTTCAAAAAAATGTGCAGGAGTGCGGTACAAAGATGCGGGACAACCTATTTGTATGAACAAGCACTTGTGAAAGACTCCTCTGCACTCAAAAATGCTGAAACAATGTAGAAATGTAGGAAGGGAAAGAAAACATAGGAAATGTTGTTGTGGGTTGGAGTTCCTCAAGTTGGGTTTTCCAAGCACATTATGCATTGAATCCCCAACAACTTCACACTATTGATCACTCATAACTTTTTTTCAAAGAACCGCATCGCAGACAAGGAAAACGATTCGGAGTCAGCTCATCAAAACGCATCTAATGATCCGTGTTTCATTTCATTTCCTAGATTAAGTGGGATCCCTTGTAAGATTTGTAAGGATGTGTGGAATATCACCTTTACGAAACCTGCACCAATAAGACCGAACATTGCGGTGGCAAGTGTGATGAGCACAATCCCACAAATAGACTCTCCTGAAAAGATGTATATACACTGCCGTAGCCTTTGCATCACCAACGATTACCTTTTTTGACGAAAGCCAATGCACAGAAAGCCAAGGCACTTGCTCCTAATGAAACGCTGTTGTAGATGCGAAGCTTTGTCGTTTCCGATATGCTTCGTATTTGGTCGCTACTGTAGCCGGCAACAACCTGATTCATTTGATGAGTTTAATGGTTGAAAGGATAATTCTCAAATACCTTTACAAGGCACTGAAATAGAACCGGAAGAGCGGCAGCAAAGCCGGTTTTCTGTACGGAATACTGCAGTACTTCACGAATGTAAAGGGGCGAGAACATTTGCATCAACTGAAATTGTGATCGTTTGCAGCTTTCCAATAGTTCTTGCAAAAATTTGTTGACTCTCAAGAGTTACTAAAGCATGTAAAATTAAGCGAAAAAACTTTTTCAAAATCAAAAATTAGACTTGTTCTGGGAAAATTCGTTTTCGTGAAGGAACGACACAGCTGAGTGGACTTAATATTCACTACAATCTTAAAACTCCAAGCTCAAAGAATTTGAAATTCTAGACAAGAAAGGTGAATTTGGTATATGCCCACAAGGTTTACCTGTTCTAAATCATTTTTAAATTTTATTTTTTTAATTAGAATTTTCTTGCGTAAAAGGCGATTTCCATATAATATCATAACTTATAATAACGGGCTAAGGATGTTTACGTGTTTTTGTGTGTGTGTCTGTCTGTCTGTCACGAAATTCGTGGAACGGTTGCCAGCCAATATCTTAAGCCCAAATTTTGCACAGCGCATGCTACCAACATGAGAGTCCACTATATCAAAACTTGAGCGGATCCGTTTAGCGGATCCCTCAAAAAATGCGCGTCAATCGGACCCACCTGGCTTTTCGTCCCCAAAATTGGGTCCGTAATTCCACTTTTTGCAGGCTCGTGGATGTTTATGGCAAGTAAATGTGCAAACCATGAGCTTAGGCCCAAAAAAGTGATCAAAAGTCCACTACTTTACAAAAACGGCGCCAAAAAGTATTGGTTGCGTAAATGGTCATTTTGCCAAGCTTTTACCAGAGCATTTGATGAGATTTTTGCACCTAAATGTAGCTTATGGTGACTACTGTTCTTATGGCAACTGTCAAGACTGTGGGAAAATCAAAAACATACAAAATTTTGCTTTGTTCTCCTGCAAAAAAATTTCATCCACGCGAAATCACCGATTTCACTTGAAAAAGCTTTCGGAATGAGTAGTTGTTTACATTTTGTTCATGACAGTAGGCATTGCTCGGTGACTTTCAATGCCATCATTATGCGAGAATGAGTAGGGCCTAGATAGTAGAACCAGTGCGAGCCTCTGCGAAGCAGAGGTGACGCACTGGTTTATAATAGGTTGGCACGTAAGTTTTGCAACTTACTTCGTAACTTTTCTCTTTTTGACTGTGACGCCCTCATTTTCTGATATAATTGTGGATTAGATAGTGCGCAAACAGTTTGATTTTTGGTAGCGGATTGGAGAAAATGTACTCATTTTTTGGAAGCTGGTTGACTCTGGAATTTCGAAGGTCGGAAATCGAATAAAGCCGTTCTCAGTCAGAATCAAACAAATCAAGCCGGAACTGCATAGATGATTGGAGTTTCCTCTATCAACAATCTGGGTACAGTTTCGGCTCGATGTATTTGATTCAGACTGAGAACGGGTTTATTTTTGGTTTTCCGACCCTTGAAATTTCGGATTTGACCAGCTTCCAAAAAATGAGTAAATTTTCTCCATTTCGCTATCAAAAATCAAACTGTTTGCGCAAGTTTGTAGCCTACTATCTAATCTACATTATGCTTAAAAAGGAATATGTTCACATTTGAAAGGAGAAAAGTTACAAAATAAGTTGCAAAACTTATGTGCCAACCTAATACTATATATACTATACCACACCACAAAAAATAAATTCCAAACTCAAGATATAATACGATGTTCAAGCTCATCAGCGTTTTCAAATGCCCGTAGCCATACTCCGCACTAGCATCTTTCTAGTGCCGAGATATTTATCATTTATTCTCTGACTTACGGACACGAGCACGTTTTGCGTACGTCTGACTAATAAGTTTATGAGCGCCTTTTAACGCGTTTTGTTAGGTTACTACCACCTACTTCATGTTTATTCATGTTCATGTACATTGTTTAACGAGTTCGAACATGTTATTTTACGACTTCCCAATAGGAATTTACCAAGACGCACTAGAACACACTTATAAACTTTCAATCAGACGTAAGCGAAGCGTGGTCGTTTCTCTTAGTCACAGCATGAATGATATGAAAATATCATCGGCTCCCAGATTCATGTGGAGGCGGATTGCGGACTTCCCTGATTTTTAGGATAAACTTGTCAAACCTCCACGTTATAGCATTGTATTTCGTAGCCTCTCGTTGAGCTTATAATCAAAATCAGGGAGGTACGCAACCCGCCTCCACAGGAATCTGGGGGTCGATCATTCTCAGTATGCGCAAGACTTTTGTGTTCACTAGGGTCTCAAAACTTCGGACAGTGACATGCGATAGTAGAAACTTTGAATTATCATGTAATATATCTAAGCACAGCGAATGCCATTAAATATTTTCTAGGCTCCGTGATCACATCTTGAAACGAAACCACCTTTCAACCAACCTAACAATTGTGATCAATGCTAGTTCCCTTCTTGTCCAAAATTACTTACCTGCAAAGCGAGAAGACATCCAACGGCACCGATCCATATACCCAGTATAGTTGGAGTTGTCAAGATTTGAAGGTACGGTATAGAATTCTGGAATTTGAGAGAACCTGCGATCTAAAACGCACAAAAGAAAGGAAAAACGGATTTTGGGTTAAAGCGTCCAAGCAAAGAGTCGATTTTGAAACTTTTTCGCTTACCCGGGCCTATTCGCCATGCTGAATCCGATAAACCACAATAGAGAGCGCGAAAACGCCAAAAAAGGCCTTAACGCAGGAGGGAAATCGCAGGTGGGCGGGGCCGTTCACACTGTGACGTCACTCTCCAAGGCTTCAAGAGCGATTTTTTCGGTTCCGTTTTTATGTCATGAGTTTCGCGCTTGGCTGGTGATGATGTTAGGGTGACTAGCGGAAGCGAGAAGATCGCTCCTGAAGCTGGGAGAGTGACGCCACTATGTGAACAGCCCCGCCCACCTGCAATTTCTCTCCTGCGTTAGAGTCTTTTTTCTCCGTTTTCGCGCTCTCCAGTGTGATTTTCGATTCAGCATAGCGAATAGGCCCAGGTGAGCACAAAATCTCGAAATCGACTTTTTGCTTGGACACTGCCTTTAAGATGCACTAAATCGCGTGTTTTATTTGGCTTTCGTCGATTATTAAAGGTAACGAATATGCGGCTGCGCAAAAGCGGTTCATCGATGCAAACTTTTGCCATAATCATTTGGAAATTTGTTTCTAGCGTTAGTTTTCCATCTTATCCAACAGTTTACTAGCTCCATTTCGCGTGAATGTTTTCTTCATAAAAGCATTCTTTTATTAGAGAATATAACGTCTGATGCACTTTACTGTATCTGCTGAAGAATGTGTGCAAAACGAGAGAATGGAAAGTGATTTTTATCAGCATGCTTTTCCATTACTAATAAAGATCAAAACTCACCTTTATTGATGTCAAGGATTTGCCACGATTGATATCGGCCAACTCATATGAGGAAACCATAGGATGGTGCGATAAAAATGAGACCTTCTTGATTATGATTGACCAGTTTGTTCATACCTGGGTTATTAGCATATAAGCAAAACCAAGCACAACTAGATATTATGGTAAGATAATAAACCGTTCAGATAATAAACCCTTAACCCTCAGGGTTCGTTGATGAATACGGCCACCGGTCATCGCATTATCTACAGTAAACCCAATAGTGGAAAAGTGTTTTGTTTGTACGTTATCAGATAGATGTTTTTGATGTCTCTAGGTCTTTGGAATAACATAATTTAATTCGACAACCCAAAAAGACGATTTTGAGCAAATTCTGAGACCACGGAGTAGGCATATCATAACTTTAGTAAGACTTAGCAGCGGCAGTCGTCTGTTAATCCATAATGATCACGTCTATCCATATAGAATGTTTGAGCAATAATGGCTACTAGTGGCCCGCTCGGACCGTGGGTCTAAACACCTGATGCCGTGAAGGGTACAAAATCGTACTCAAAGCGTCCAACTTACCCTTCCAAATTTAATCTTCTACCCTACTTCACCCTTCGGCAAATTCCTTCTTCTTTCTTTCACCCGCACCAGACCTCGCCTACCGTTCCTCTGGCTCCTGCGTTGACTTGTCCTTCTCCTGGCTGCATCGCTTTGCAACACCATATTCTCCTTACGGCGGAGTAAGAATGAGCTTCATCACCCGTGTTCAAACGAATATCGGAAAATGCTTAGTCAATATATGATGAGCTTCCATTTCCATAGATTTGAGTAAACAGATCAATAAATCGATAGAAGGACTCAACAAATTTCAGTGAAAAGTAGCCTAAAATCGAGGTCGAAAACATCTGTGTGCAAACTTTCAGCCCAATCGGTGGAGCGGCGCGGGTTTCTGTAACGTGGCACATACCCTCCAAACAGACATTTTTGAGTTTTATGTTTATAGAGATATAGTCTTGGCGGAGCCCCGGACCCCAAAATACGGCTTCCCCTTTGTTTACCGATAAACAATGCACATATCATTCTTTATTCATCATTCCTTGTTGATGCTACTGTCCTATGAACTTAGACTCCAGCAATCGCTAGCCTGCCCGCAGGCGGGAATTCAAATCGCAATTATTGTAAGAGGAAAATAACAAAATAGGCTCGTTTTCAATGCACGGGTAACGATATGGCACCAAATTTGCTGTGTAGTTGGAGGACCATGAGCACAAAAAAGTATGAAGAATTATGAGAAACTTACGTGAATTTAAAAAATGGTAAGTGTTTTTCGAAATTAGGTGGCTCCCGCGCCACCTGGGAGCCACCTGGGGTGGCTCCCTGCTTCCCTTCACATAATTTCCCGGATTTCTTTACATAAATGTGGACTAGTCGAGAGTACTACTATATGTTCAAATCCGCTTCCAAAACCACCAAGGCACCGCTTCGATACAGCCCCAAATAGGGTTCACATCGTTATGATCGGCCTCGGAAAGCGCGCTCCAATCGCAATCGGTTATTGTAAATTGTAAAGTTTCGCAGCTGACTAATAAATGAGTAGTATCTTAGATATATAAACGTCAAGGTTTGTGCAAATCTTGATCCTATGTTCTTTTATAGATTCCTTTGCGGATGAACCCATTGAGCTGAAGCCTTGATGACCCGGGCTGGACCAGGAAAGCCAGGTATCACTACTATAATAAGCGCTGAAGCCGCCCATCTTATTATTTGTGTATATCTGTTTGTCAGGGACTTACGGGGATCAAAAATAGGGTCAAAGAGGAAGTCTTAAGAAATTTTGGCTTCAAAGGGGATATCGTTTTTGTTGTAGAGCCGTCCCTTATATTGGAACTTGCTCACTATTGATAGCTAATGCTGAGGCGACCTATGTGGCTGCGGCGTACCCGCCGCACCTTGCTGTATTTACGTGTTGTTATTGCATTGATCCTAGTGAACCCGCGGCATATACGCCTATGTGAATAAGGGGAATCTTTGTGTTTTTCTAATAAATTGTCAACGGCTCAACGCGTTCCACAACAACTGGCGATCAGGATCAAGGACAAGAAGACCTCCACCGACCAAGGACCAGAAGAAGCTCCACCGACCGAGGACCAGCAGCCCGACCAAGGACCAGCAGCCTTCCAGTCGAGGACAAGAAGAAGCGCTGCAGCTCAGCCAAGCCGGGAGGAAGCTGTTACCGGTCGAGGACAGCCAGACAAGTAAGCGCTGCTAGGAATTCGATTTAACAGAAGAACTCGTCGACTCCGAAGAGTTCTACCATGCCGAAAACCAGTGAAGAGCGGCATGGCCATGACTCTTTGGAGAAGGTCCTGTCGGTCATGGTCGATCAAATGCGAATTCAGCAGGAACAAATGCAAATGCAGGCGCAAGCTCTACAGGAGCAAATGCAAGTACATTTGCAACTTCAACAGGAGCAGCAGACGCAATTGCAAGCTCAGCAGGAGCAGATGAAGGAGCTGATCATCACCTTAGCCAGTAAGCAGGGAGCCGTCCAGGATGCCAGCAAAGATCAATACGATCAGCTGAGCAAGGAAGTGCAACGATTTGTCTCGGACGAGGAGACAGGTAACACTTTGCATACTGGTACGGCAGGTATGGACCTATCATTCGCGACGCCCAGCTGCCGGATCACAAAAAGCGCGACTTAGTCCTCATGAAGCTGGACGAAGAAAGCTTACCGGAAGTATGCGGATGAGGTTTTGCCTGCGCAACCGAGCGACTTGGACTTCGACACCACCGTCGCGAATCTCCAGAAGCTGTTCGCCTCCAAGAAGACGCTCATCAGGAGACGTATGAGTGCCTGAGGATAACCTGCCCTCCGCTTACTCCAGCGTACGTACCATTTCGCGAGTACGCCAACACTATCAAGCGGATGGACGAGGATGCCCGGCTCAAGGAGGTCGACTACACGGCAATGAAGACGCTGCAGTTCGTAGCAGGTCTTCAAGATCCCTCGCTTAGGGAAGTTCGCCTTCGGATGATTCGTCGACTGGACGCTCACAGGGACGAAGCACCGTTGACAATCGAGGACCTAGTCGCGGAATGTGAAAATTTCACTGCTTTGAAAGTGGATAACACGGACATGGAAGGCACTCGCGACGTCCATGCTGTATGGAAGAAAAAGGTAAATTGCTTCATATGCGGAGAACCACACTTCAGAAGAGACTGTCCACAATCTGACAATAGTCGGAAGAAGCGGAGGAAGACGGGAGCCCATGTGAGCCGCAGGCGACAGTGCAAAAATGTGGTCGTTTTCGACGCCGAGAAGGCGCGGACTTATATCGACGTCGTAATCAGAGGATGTTCCCTCAAGCTACAGCTGGACACAGGTGCGGATATAACCCTGATTTCGCGAAAAGCCTGGAAGAGGATGGGATCCCCTGCTCTGGAACCCTGCGTGTTGCCCGTGAAAACTGCCGACGGGACGCCGATGCAGATCGACGGTAAATTTTCGACCGATTTTGAGGTCAAAGATCGAGCTACAGGGAAAACCGTTCATGGAAACGGAATTTGCTACGTCACCGAAGGCTCGAATCTATTGGGATTGGAATGGTGTATCCAATTGCCGGCGTACAAGAAGCTGAAGGACAACTACAACTGCAGAAAGGTGACTAGCGAGGAGAAATTTCGAGCCGAAGTCGTCGCCGATTTGAAGAGGAAATATGCGGAAGTCTTCAATAGCGACTTGGGAAAGTGCACGAAGAGCAAGGCCAAGTTAATCTTGAAGAGCGATGCTGTGCCAGTCTTCAAGAAGAAGAGGCCAGTTCCGTACGCCACGGCACCGGAACTGGAAGCAGAAATTGATCGGCTGGTAGCCGAAGGAGTTATTTCTGCTGTAGAACACTCAGAGTGGGCCGCACCAATAGTCGCCGTCAAGAAGAAAAATGGCAGGATCCGGCTATGCGCCGACTTCTCGACAGGACTTAACGATGCATTGCAGCAGCATCAGCATCCATTGCCCACAGCGGAGGATGTGTTCACCAAGCTCAATGGAGGCCAGCTCTTCACTCAACTCGACCTAGCCGAAGTGTATTTACAAGTGGAAGTCGAGGAAACGTCAAGGGAGATGCTGACTATCAACACACATAAGGGATTATATCGCTATAATCGTTTGCCATTCGGAGTGAAATCGGCACCCGGTATATTCCAGCAGATCATGGATTCCATGATAAGCGGACTTGATGGAGTAGCCGCTTATCTTGATGACATCATCATCACAGGGAGGAGTTACGAAGAACACCGCCAGAATTTGGAAGCCTTGTTTAAGAGAATCAAGGACAACGGATTCCACGTCAGGTTGGAAAAATGCAACTTTCTCATGCCAGAGATTTGTTACCTAGGCTGCATCATCGACAAAAGAGGACGCCGGCCGGATCCAAAGAAGATTGAAGTCATCCAGCAAATGCCAGCGCCGAAGAACATAGCGGATGTTCGGTCATTTCTCGGCATGATCAACTATTATGGATTATTCGTGGCCGAGATGCGCCAGCTTAGAGCACCCCTGGACGCATTGCTCAAGAAGGACGCAAAGTTCGAATGGACAGAGAAATGCCAAAACGCATTCAAACGTGCCAAAGAAGTCTTAGCCTCCGATCTACTCCTTACACATTTCGATCCTGACTTACAGATAGTGGTAGCTGCGGATGCGTCAGACTACGGAATCGGGGCTGTAATTCTGCACAAGATGCCAGATGGGACAGAAAAGGCTATCTGCCATGCAAGCCGAAGTCTCACCGCCGCGGAAAAGAACTACGGACAAATTGAGAAGGAAGGACTAGCATTGGTTTTCGCGGTCCGTAAGTTCCATCGGTACATATACGGACGCCGATTCAGATTGCTCACCGATCACAAGCCGCTGCTACACATTTTTGGACCGAAGAAGATGGTGCCTGTGTACACAGCGAACAGGCTGCAACGATGGAAACTCATTCTACTCGCATACGACTTCGACTTGGAGTACCGCAAGACGACCGAATTCGGACAAGCTGATGCGCTGTCTCGACTGATCCCTCCAA